AGCATAGAAGTCTGCAATCATCTCCAACACTTTTCAGCATAGACAGAAGTCAGTAATTATCTCCAAGTGTTATGTCCACATAAAAGGTTACCATGCTCTTTGGCATTCAGTTACTAATATTGAAAATAAAGATAAAAAATAGACATTGCTGTGTGAGTCATTTCTCAAGCTGCAGTGTGTTGATAGTCACATCGTGATCAAACCAAAAATAAATAATGATTCAGGAATCGGGACTCTCCACATATTTTATTAAGAAAAAGTATCAATGTGTTAGCATAAAGCATCAAAAAGGGGGAGGAAAGAATGCTAGTAATCTGAAGGTCTGGATTTTAGATCATGCCAGATATTGGATGTCTGGAACTGGACTTTGTATTGTATATGAAAGTATTTTTCCATTGAGAATAATGCATAATACATACACACACACACACAACAACAACAACAACAACAACAACAAAAAACACCATTTGAATGAACTCAAGACTGCATTAGCCCCATAATTAGATTCTTTATCATGATAATTCTCTATTATTTCTGGTGCATAAATTAAAGGTTTTAGTAATTCCACCAAAATAATAACAGCTTCAGGTCTCTGTATCCAAAGATGAGGACAAAGTTTTTTCAGAGATTTTCTTTTTGTGCACAAATTTGATTTTCTTTCCCAAAAAATAGAATTACCTTTTTGGAGTGCTCATAAAAGAAAAACATTTTTCTCTCCCTCCCATGCAGCTGTGAATATCTTTAATGTGACATGCATCAGAAATTGAAAAATTAAGGTAATGGGAAGCAAAATTAACATACAGTGTTAAAGAAAATCTCTCTCTCAATTTTAGCTTGTATGACTTTGAATATTCCAGATATGGCTGCACCAGCATTATAGCTCTGATTTCTCATGTACTTCAAATTAAAATTTATTAATGTTCAAATTACCAGCTCTACTCTTATATGAGCCCTAATATCACCAAATGTGGCGATCTGTGTCCTGCACTGGTTTTTGGCGCGATTGCGTGTTTTATGGCAACTCTGTTGACGTTGAAAAATCTTTTGCTGGAGTAGTTTAATTGCTCGTTGGTTCATGTCGTGCGTGTTTTGAAATGGCACATGTTGCAATGATAGATGTGAAGGCAAAATTTCAGTCGAATATTTTAGACTGCGTGGAAAGTAAATTTAGTATTAAAAGGTATGATGTTGGAGTTGATAACAAGTCTTTTGTTCATGGGTGTGTTTATGAGGATTGAAGTGTAATTTTGGAATTTCTGTGGGAGTTTTAAAACGGAATCCGAAATGCGGAGCTGCTATGAGAACTCGGACGAAGAAGGGCATTTCTGATAGTTCTTGTGTGGATTTGCAATCAAATGGTTGCTGGTAAAACATGTGGCTGTCAGCGGAGTTTAAGATTTGGATTGTGGTTTTCGTGTAGTATGTTAACTTTGGAGGAAATTTTTATCGTTACTTTCGAAATTTTCAATCTCAGAAAGACATGTGATATAGCAAAATCATGGGACTTTTGTTCAGAGACATTGTGTAACTGGCAAAATTTTATTCAGGAATGTATTATGGTAAGTGCATTTTATTTTACTGTTTTTATTTTGTGGAATGTTATGTTCATTGCTTTTTTACTATGAATTTCAGTTGTTATTTTTTTTTTTAATTGTTTGTAATTTAGTTTAGTTTATTTGGTTGATTTGTGTACGATGACTAGATTGTGCAATTCGTAGATTTTTTTTAAGTTTAAACAGAATGCTGTGTACATGGTATTTTTTAAAATTTATTGTTATGTTAATTTATTGAAGCAAGGTGAGCGTAGTTCGTATATTCCTTCACTGCCTAGAATGTGCAATTCCTAGATGTTTTTTAAGTTAAAATGTATCGCTGTATACATGGATTCTTGTCAAATATTTTTGGTTAGAAACTTTACGTTTTTGCTATCTCAATTTTTTGTTTTTGTTTCGGATTTTTAGCTTAAATTGTGTGTTAAAAACGCGATTTTTGCATTTGCAAAAACCGCGTTTTTTGAGATATTTTAGGCTTAAAATTTAAAATGTAGACAAAAAATTTAGGTAGTAATATGGCAGCATGGAGTTTCTCGCCAAAAATGTTTGGTGAGAAATTTGGCGACCTTAGGGCGCATATAAGAATAGTTCCAAATTACCTATAATATTATTAGCCAAATCGTTTTTGAATGCCAATACAAGTTCTGAATTGTAAGGCATTTTCAGTTTTAACAGTTTTTCTTTCAAGTTTTTCCACATATCATACACAAATGGATATGAAGAAATGTTTGTAGCTTCATCAGTGTAACTGAAAAATATTTGTTCGTATTTGCTTTTCAATTGTTTTTTCCAAAGTAATTTGATTCCAAGCATTTATGATTTGGTCTTAATTGGTTTTATTTGATTATGGCAGAGCACTCAATGGCTATTGCTGGAGGGGGAAGGAATGCCTCCATGAAGGATTTTCTAAGGGAACTGTTTCATATTATACAAGGGGAAGGCCACAAAAAATGCCCATGCAACCAGCCTGTTCAAAGAGATTCGAACTCTGGACCAAACTGCCAGCATTCAGCGACTTTACTGCTCAGCTGCTGGTAGGCTGCAAGCATTCATGTTTTATTTTGTATTATTATTATTTTCATTTTGTACTTTTGTATGTATATATATGTTGCATTATTGCTGCAAGATATTAAGCGATTTTCAATATATCACCTGCATTTATTCAAAATCTGAGGAGATGTTAAAAGTTTTCTTCAATCCGATAGGATTCAAAACAATCACCATTTGTAATCATTTGCCCAGAATCAAAATGATCTATCTTTCAATGGAAATACAATTATACTACAGAAGAACACTGTTTTTATTACAGGAATAAGATTTTGATTTTCTTTAGTTTAATGAGTGCTGGTGATATCAATTGCATAAACTATGGACTGTCTGTGTCCAAGAACAATATTTTTTAAAATATCAGCAGACAATAAGGAATACTTTTGATATTTTTTTCTTTGTGGTCCTGAAATGTTTCATTAAATTTCCTCAAGTTGTGAAAATTGCTCCCTTATTGTCCTAATAGATGTCTTAAAGCTTGTCCTAAAGCTTGGTCTCAATATACCTTACTGAATACTATGCAATATTTTACAATACACTCTGTCTTTAATTTTAGAACAAGCCAACCAAGAGCATTCAGATAATAACATATACAGAAATTTTACACTTACAAACTGCCATTACTTGGAACCATTTGCTTTGCTATTAGAGCCCAAATATTTTCAAGAAATCAGTTTCCCCCCCCCATAAGATTTACAAAATTTGATGCATCATATTTTTCATCTTAGAGAAGGATTTTTAAGTTTTGCTAAAAAGTTCCTAGAGAAATCTCAAGTATTTATAGAAACAGAGCAGTATGAATAATTTTCACTTTCAGCTTTCAATTGAGTTTTACATTCTCAAGTTGTCACTCGTCATTGCTTAGCATGTGATACTTCTTTGCTTGTATTTCATTTTTCAATTCTGCTTCATGACAGTTTTTTAATTAATTTAAGAGAGAATCCAGTCGTTTCTTACTCATTTTGAAATTAGTGGATCAATCTTAATTTCCTGCATATTCCACTGTGTTGAAGTTCATCAATTATAAATCTAATAACGATTAAAATTACTGAATCATGTTACTACAAGCTACAAGTTGAGAACACTTTGAGACTGGAGTCTGAAGAAAAACAAAATGAAATAAATGCATCTGTTTTAGAAAACTATACTATGACATTCATAAATATTATAAAATGAATGGAAGGGAAGAAAGGTAAGAAAACAGACAACATAATTTAGGATAGTATAGTGTCAGGGTTATTTTGGCAAGTAATACCTCATATGGGGCTTGAAACTCAATTCATACATTAGAAATGGGACTCCAGCTGTCTCTGCATGATTCCCCAATATACTTTAAATTTGGATCATTTCATCAACACATCTCACCACTTCCTGCAGCGTGCTTTTAACAAATGTGAACAGCAATTTCCTCAGCTGCATTTAATCATTTTGCAACATTCAACAGCTTGACCATAACAATATATGTTCATTCACAGTTTAATGCATAACAGGACTCAGCATTAAAAAAATAGACAAATGTGATCTTTCCCACTAAGAAAAAAGTAGGATATGGCAATCTAAAAAGATCTCTCTTTGAGTAAAGAAATGCCATCTTTAATTTTTTAAGAATTTCTGATGCAAGAAAAGTTTTTAGGGATGTATATAGCCATTTGCCTACCCCTGCATACAGCACTGATGTGTGTTAAGTAGTAGTTAAGTTAATAATTTTTTTCATAATTTGCTTTGTCTATTTATTTATCTGTTTATGTGCATGTCTCAAATATCAGAAAAGATAGTTTCTAACACATAAATTTATGAAAAATAGTTGTTTTCAGACAATTTCAATAATTATTAAAACTGATGTTTGATATGATTCATATAAAAAATTTCACTAATTATTAAACCTTATGTTTGATATGATTTATATCAAAGTTGCAGGTACTGACAAGTAAGTTAAACATCGAATTTCACACAATTATAAAAGAGAGTTAAAAGAAAATTCAGAATGACTTTTTCATTTAATGTTATTTATTCATTCATAATAGTATTTAGTAATTAAACATTTCTATAAACAAAGATGTTACATGAACTAAGTTTTAGAGGATAACAAGGCATACAACTCTATCAAAAGATTCCAGAAATGCATTTATTGTTTTTATGGGTTCTGGCAATACTGTTGAAAGCCATTACTTTGAAGTAATTTATACATTAATGAAAGAGGGCATACAGCAGCACTTTGGATGCTCGTATGCCCCCTCCCCAAAAAATCTGAAGAATAAACATGTGGAATCTTAGTATCTGATAAAGCAATCTGAAAGAATAATGAAACTAGATTTTTAGTTATTAACTTAAACCATAGTTTTTTTCTAAACTAAAACTGATAGTTTTATGTTAATGACAAACAACTTAAGAAAAACTTACCAACAAGTACCGAGACCAAAAAATTGGTTAACCTCTGCTCTTTAACTTCAATGATATGAGGTGTTTCACCAGGAGCATGTGTCTTGCTCCAGACTATTAAACTTGAAACATGAGAAATTGATCTCACAGTGGCAGCGCATTGCCAAGGACCTCCAATAAAGGCACTTATCATTTCCATGTAGCCAATTAGAAACATATCAAGATGGAAACCTGAACCTTTCTTTAATTTCTTTTTGCCGATAATTAATCTATGAATATAAAAAAATCAATTTCAGGATTAAACGATCATGAAAACTACTTAATTCCATTAAAAAATACCATTGCTGTTATGATAATATTTTTCAAAGTTTCATTTCATTGTTTCACTTGAATTACATTTCAAACTTTTGTATCGGTGACAAATAGACAGCATTTCATGAAATCACTGAATATTAAAAAGAATACATACATTTCATGTATTATTTTTTGCTAACATATTTATTTGATATATGACAAAGAGACATGCTCAGTTCAGATATGTACAGATTAGTGGACAAAACAGCCTTAAAAAATAATTGTGTCAACATTGCCATGTATATCAAAATGATGGCAATAATGTTTGTTATTACTGTAAGACATTATTAATTTGGATCTAAAAGACATTTGAATTCCTTTTTTGAATGTTCAATTGTATTTTAGAAGATTTCAAAGAATTTAAAAAAAAAAAAAAAATCCAATATGGTTTTTAGATTACACGTTGCTTCCAAAAATTAAAATATAAAAATTACTGAATACTTTTTCCTCAACAAACAACAACTATGGGGGCATCTGGAAGTTCTGTAGTTTTTCAAATCAAACTGTATTTTCTTCTACTTATTTTGTTACTGCTAATATGGAGTGCTAATATGAAGCAAATATTTAAATAAATCTTTTCTGCTCATCTTGTGCAATTCTGGATGAATTGCAGCTAATTTTTGTTTCAGTGCAGTGTTAAGAACAGGGAATCCAGAAGACCATTTTCATAATATTATGCTGCTTTATTTAAAAAAAAAAAAAAAAAAAAAAAAAAAACCTGATGTGTACACCGCATGACTTCCTTGTATGGAATATTAAATTATACACATTTTTTCTTGCATTTCATTTAAACTTATTGGATTGGATTAAATCTACTTCGTCAACAGCACATAAACCACAATAGAATAAATGCATTCTTTAAAATTCACTCTAGAATTTGTTTACCATAGCAACACTCTGGCGCTAGATTCACTTAACGGTATTATATTTCGTTCATATTATAACTCATAATGCACAAAATTTATATCACTTAAAGAATACAATTATCTAATCGTTGCCACATGTTCTATTCAAATACTATAATAAAGCTAAAATGATGTATAAAAGAAATTAAGCAAACAAAACAAAAAAGGAACAGTTTTTCACAGATGATTGAATATTTCTCATTCAATTAATTCAGTTCTCACTTCTCAAGAAGCAAAAAATACATAAAAACTCAAAATATCTATATTAAAAATTACAAAGTAAATCTTAAACACTTATTTCCTCGAAAAAATTCCACAAAGGATTAAGCATGATTTAATTGGCAATAATAAATGAAGGCATTATTTTTGTTGTTGTGAAGCTTAGTCTCTCTAGATTAGCAACAAATCTACAATTCTGCTGTTTCAAATGTAAACAAATATGTCCGCCATGTTATTTAAAACTTAAACCGCACATAAACAGCTTTTAAATTGTTGATAATTGTACAAATATTGCTTCCAGAATTACGAAAGGCATAAAAACCTTAACCAGAAGATAAAAACAACATAATTCAATCATTTTTAAAGCAAAAAATGTACAATTTACAAACACATAAGAGTAAAGAAACTGAGATCACTGAGCCAGGTAACAAAGTGGATATATATATAAATGGTATATTTATATACGTTTGTTGCGGCCGATTGCAATTAAAATACGAGGTGCACATCTACATGTTATAGCAGTTCTATATGCAAAATAACAACGTTCTGAGGCTACTCGTTTTTGAGTTATGCGAGATACTTACGTACATACGTTTGTACAGATGCCACGAAAAATTCTCTTCAGAATTCATTTTAAAACAGTTTTATAATTTTTTTTGAGGAAACGAGGCCTAATCTTTGGAATATGGTAACAGGCAGTTTGGCGACATTTTGGTACGCGATAAAGTTTACTACCTAGGACTTTGGCAATAATGTGTGAAGTACCCAATTCCAATTACGGATTATTTTGTCTGAGAGAAATGAGAGGTCATGAGATATGTCATGTGACATTTATGGACGAATCACAGTTCTTTAATCGGAAAAGGGGAGGGGGGAAATTTGCAAAAATATCTGCAGTACTTTATAGCATTTTGTATTTAGCTTCATTCTATGTTGTGTGAAACAGTGTTGCTTAATATTTGGATCCCATGGCCCTATGTAAAGTAAATTCGAAATTTTTATTGCGTTTATGTGATAATCCAAAAGAATTGCTTGAATAGTGTATGAGTGTAGGATTAATTGCTGATAAGTATGAATGTCCAACATGTGGGAATGAAATGAGATTGTGTGAAAGGAAGGATATTACAGATAAGTTTGAATGGCGGTGCAAGAAATCTGGTGAAAATGAACATTTTGTGATCCGCCATGCACTCAAGATTCTGTAGAAGATTAGGTAAGTTAGTATTTTTAATCATTTGATGATATTATTTTTATGCATTGTTCTAAATATAAGGAATAAATAAATTAATATGCTATTATTGGAAAATTTTTATTAGCAATAAATTAGTTTAAAGTAATTAAGATTTTAAACTAATTTTTATTAATTTAATGTATGTGTTTATTTATATTTTAACTAGTGTTTTTTAATTTTATTATATTTTAATTAAATGATAGTGATTTTTGTGAATTATGTGTTTGTAGCATTTTGGAATACATCTCAGTAGAAGTAAACGTGCATGGAAATAAGTTAAATATTTGACACTAAGTATTTGCAATTATTTTTAATGTTTGCCTTATAAAATCGGAGGTGACGTTTATAATGGATAATTTAGAGGGAAAAGTTTTTGGATATTTTATTTATTTTATACGTGCAAATGTTCATCCTTGGAAAGGGTATATACTTTTTTGTGATCAGGTAATTTCATATATGTCCTTTTTACCGACTTTAAAGATTCACAAAATTTTCCTGCATTTTCGTGCAAATTTTTCTAATTTATGAGAAAAAAGCAGAAAAAAGCAAGTCAAGAGTGTGTGCAATGCCATTTTTGTGCAATTTTGGGATGTTTTTTCAAGTGAAAATAGGTCGTCGTGTACATGGTTACCGTGTATGTGCAATTCTTAAAAATGCGGCAAGGAGTTTGCGATTTTGCACTTAATATTCGTCATGATTAAGCACTTTTGTTCCATAAAATTTCTAGCATAAGCGTAATTCAGCTAGCAGATTGTTCAAAAAAATGTTGAGTAAATAAAAAAAAAGAAACATGTCTTTACTTTGTGAAGACAAAATGACGCCGGGAAAAAAACGCCGGGAAAAAAAAAAAAAAAAAAAACCAAAAAACTAGGAGGTTGCCAAATTTTTGCCAAAAATCGCTAAGTTACCATAATCCAAAGATTAACCAAAACAAGTCTTTTATTCTGTCCTTACGTACAGATATCATTCAAAAACATCGTTAAATTGCATTCCATAGCGGTCAAAAATGGATATTTTCATTGAAATATGCTGTCTGAAACTTTTCACGATTACAATACTTCCTTTTTACTTCGTACAAGGAAGTAAAAAGGAAAAAAATGCTCATCAGACTACTCATAAAATTTATGCTGTGTATGGTAAAAGTGCTCTACCTGATGATGCACTGGGTATATAAACTGCCATGATATATCAATACTACATACTCTAACAAAGCCAAAAAAAACTTGCTCAAGTTTTGGCATATGATTATTTGCTGAAAAAAATAAAGCTCCTATATGGAAACAGATCATTACTGGAGATGAGAAGTGGCAATTATGCAATAAGATTACAAGAAAAAGATCATGAGATAAGAAAAAGGAACCTCGATTAGTAGCATTGAGGGGACATCCATGGATTTTAATCTCTTCGGGTCACTTCAGTATTCTTTGAATGGCCTAGAGTTAATTTTTTGGAAGACTGTCTAACAGCACGAAAATACTGTTTTATTAATAAATACAATTTTTTATAAATATTTTAAAAAGGAAATTTTCATGCTGCTGGCAAGATGAAAAAAAAGTAAAAGAACAAAATGGTGCTTAAGCGATAGTGCTTCATTTGTATTTATCATAGGGGGAAAAAAAAGAGAACTTTCTGGATAACCCAATACAAACAGTGCATTCTGAGTCCTATACAATTTAAATGGTCTCAGATTTGGATCTACAGAGTATGAAAGTTTCAAATTCAATACCAGATAATCACGGAAATTTTTTTATTTTGAAAAGACTTAAATTTGTAATACTGAGACCACATATATATATCCACATTTGTATGCAAATACAAGATTTGAGCAATAAAGCTTACTAAATTTTCATGAAAGGACCACTGCGATTAAATATAAAATCCTCATTACTGATAATACTTATATATGAATATGCAAGATTATCCTAATTTAATCTATTGCTTTTCCATTTTCATTTTTAATAATTCATCTATCACATCTTTAGTAAATAAAGATCACAAGCAAATCCAGTTTCTTAACATTATCATTAAATTCATTAATACTTTACTATAATGTATGAAGGTATTTGGGCATAAAAAATAGGAAGCAGCATTATATAATTTTGAAAGAAATAAGTTATTCACAAAGTTATATATCTCAGGAATATTGCAGTCCTGCTTTTTTTGACATATTTTATATTAAAAATTAATATATGAATATAAAACTACTTTAACAAACAACAGATGTCTACTTACTCGCATATCTGGGTTTCTATAAATAACAGAATAAATATCAAAAGACCACCAACAGAAGCAACTGCTGCTTCTCCAACAGAAACAGGCACTGGATAAACAAACCAACTCCTTTCTGTACTAGGTGATAAGCCTTCTGGGACACTCAGTTTCTAAGAAAGAAATGGAGAATTTTATTTACATGATGAATATAATTAACCCCTCACATGCCAAGGCACAGAAATTTAAAGAATAAACAGGAAAAGCTGATAGGTTAAAACCATCACCTCAAGTTACACTTGATTACACTTGATCTGGTAATGCCAAATTAGTCCTATAAAAGAGGTGAAGCGAATAGTCACTATATCTCAGAACAGAGACAGAGAATTAAACTAACCTTTTTATTTAAACAGGATTTCAAACATAAGGGCTCACTCTTGTGCTACGATTTCCCCAACTTATGGTGATGCAACATAAAAAAGGAACAGTTTAAATTAAATCAAATGCTGGAAAGTTGTCAAAGAAGACTACGCAATTAAATACTAGTATTAGAAGCTGGCTCACTAACTCTATTGCAGGCCCAGAATTAAAGTGTTGGCAGTTAGAAGATGCAAAGATGAGTAATTACAAATACCAAAGCTGGCAGGAAACTAATAACACAGCCAGAAACACTCTCTGTCTTAAAATCTCAAAACCTCAATTTAATTATACTGGCTACTCATTTACATTCTAGTGAGGAATGTGGTGTGGTGTATTTAATGATGGCAAAGCACACTAGGGCTATCTGCCTAAAGAGAGGGATGCCTTCGTGGAGGACTTTCTAAGGGAAACTGGCTCGTATACACGTTACACATGAGGAAAACCATGAAAACACATATGCAGCCAGCCTGTTCGTGGGATTCGAATCTCGGACCGAACTACCAGTGTTCAGCTACTTTACCGCTCGGCCGCTGGTGGGCTTGAGGAATGTGGAAAGGAGAAGTTATAGTAAAAACTGAATTGTAAATAACTGATTAATTAAAACATTATTCCCTACAAGTTAGACATGACTTTGAAAGAGGTCATTATCTTTTTACAATAATTTGTAATTTTCAGAATGTGATATCCCCATGTAAATTTTGACATTGTCTTCTTTTTGTAAGTAAAATTGACAAAAATACATACTGCAAATATACAATGCTGTATAAAACAATAAATAACTACTGCTAAAGTGTCTAGTAAGCATGTTTTGAAGTCAAGCATTTCTTGCTCACTTCAGGGAAAAAAAAATTATTAATCGTACCCACAAAATATCCTCCAATAGAAATTTTTCTTGAAATTTAATGAGAATAAATTATTATACATTAAAAAACTTCAGAGAAAATATTTACAAAAACAGTTTTTTTAAAAACATAATTTGTTAAATGATGCAACCTTTTAAATGTAAATAGTATATGTAGGTAATCTTTCCGAATAAATTATTTCATATTTTAGTATTTTTTTTTTTTAAATAATGAGAAAATTTAGAAAATTTGCAAGAAACTGAAGTGGTTTATTAACTGAAGAAACTGAAGTGGTTTTCACCATAAGTAGACTATTATAAATCACCCAATGAAAAAAATCAGTAAAATTTAATGTTAACTCATGTAAATAATTTAGAGGACAGATAAAATAGAAGATAATTAGAAAGAATCAACTGATTTCTAATTTGCATAATTTTCAAAATTAACAACAGAGTATGATAAGTAATACATAAATGAAAAAAAGTCCAATTTATAAATGGCTTCTTTTATACATATAATGAAAAGGCAATAGTATGAAAATTCCTGCCAAACTCATTATAGCATGCCAGTGGTAACTGTTTTCTAGAGCAGTGGAAATGCCTACTTTAAATTTGTTACAGCTTTTAATATTAGGTGACACATATATACATATCATTCACATAGCCTCAAAAGAAGTCACAGAGTGTGGTTAAGCAACAAATAAACACAAATGGCAAAAATCTTTCTACTGTTTAAATGAATTTGTCATTCTTTATCAAAAGGAACATTTTAAACAACAAACCAGTTCCCTCTTTCAGTATTAAAACTTAAGGCATTTGACATTTACCTTAATATCACGCTTACCATTTATTTCATTAAATTTTAAAGATATAAAAGTTTGAAATTGGATAATTCTTTCAGAATTACTCTGTACATTAATGATTACTAAGATACATGGATAAGTTAAAATGATACAAAATATAAAATATATTTGATAACATTAACCTTAAAGATAGTTTAAATTTTGTGAAATCTATTGTAAAAATATCTATTTCACTTTTTTATTAAATTTAATAATTCCATTTGTAAGTGAAATACATGATTAAAATCAAACACAAGTTATATCTGCTGTCAAATGGAATTCTGCATAAAATATTTGAGTTCAGAACAAAACTTCACTGAGCTTGAAAGTATCACAGGCATGAGAAATGGAGAGAAATATTTCAGCAGATTATTGCTTTAATTATATTAAATAAGATACACTATAATTAATATGTAGTAATTTACAAGCATTTAAAACAAAATTTCAATGAATGTTTTTCCTTTTTTCTTCTACTAAAGTACCTTTAATTGCTATAGATAATTTGTAACAGATTATATCTATTTAATTTTAGGGAAAAAATTAAGTATAAAATTCTTAATATAATCAGAGATGTAAGAAATTACTATTACAGAAATAGGTAAGAATACAGACCCCTCTTTTTTGGTAAGTACTAGTGATACAGTTTGCTCTATATACCATGTGATACAGCTATGATAATAACCTTCTGAAGCAATAGCAGATACAACTGAATTACCTTTTTCTCAAAGCATATTACTCACAATATCGTGTGGGCATGAGTATATCACAGAATTTCTAGAAAATTAAGAGGCAGCAAGACTTTATTTGCAGGTTCATAATGCTTCATACATAAACTGGTGATATTATGAGGCAGTTAGATTGTCATAAACATTAAAAAAAGGAATTAATTGCTGCAAAAATTACTTTTCCAAATCATTCTATTTTTGGTTTATAAGATGAACTGCATTTAGATAGTACCTCTCACCTACGTACTGTTGAACAGCATTTGAAGTTAAATATCTGATTGACAATAATTCATTATTCATCAAAAATCATTAGATGCCATTACAATGAAAAACAAATTTCTTTGATGATAAATAAGTGACATGAAATATCAAAAGTGGTATTACAGTCAAAAGTCGTTAATCCGGACTCGTCGGGACTTCGGCGATTCCGGATTATCGATTTTTCCGGATTATAGATCATCAGTTTAAATCTCGTAAGATGGCATGCACAAATTCTAAAATTAAAAATATGAAACCGTATTTTAGGAAATAAAGAACAATTATGATCTAAAGGGTATCAAAATTTACAAAAAAAGAACCTTAATATTTATTTGTTTACTTTATTAAACATTTCTTTCAATGTAAGTTGTTTCGTTTTATGTGATAATACTTTCTCTTTAATTCTATAGACATAATTTCTTGTTTAGTTAAAAAGCTCCGCTGTTCAAGTCCCGTAATTGCTGTGCCGAGAATACCGACTAACTTGTCAATCGAAATTTTTTCGTTTTCACTAACCTCTCTGTCACCTTCTTCATGTCTTTATCCATTTTTTGCAGCAATTCCACTTTTTGTTGGACGGACATTGAGACATACTTTCGTTTTGTAGATCCTTTGGGAGCTCCAGAATCGGAAATTGACATAATCGAAAGACTTTTATAAAATTGCTCTTACAGTCTGCAAAAAATAATAAGCTGCATCCAATTCGAAGATTAAGGAATAACGCAAGCATCAACATTAACTGAAATAGATAATTGTATAATTTTAGCTTATACCGTCCGTTATGCGTTATACGTCCGTTAACGCGCACGTGAAAACGTATTCTGCACTTGCGCACACGCATATGCGCGCACACGTAAAGGTCTTGCGCGCACTCATAAACGCCTATGCGCATGTGTCAACGCGGCGCATGCGCAGAAAGTTTTTAGCTTTGAGGTCCGGATTATAGATCATTCCGGATTATGGGTGTCCGAATTAACGACTTTTGACTGTATTACAAGCAATTTTATGATCCTTAATTATTTTTAGTTCAACACTTGGATTTTCCAACTGAAGATAATACAAAGGAACTGATCTGAAATTACTTCCACTATACCATTACATATGAATAGACAGTAATATCTATTTTCAATGGAGCCCATTCCATGTGGATCTTTATGGCAATGAAATTGCAGACAAACTAGCAAAGGAGGGCTGTGGCCTTTTAACTCCATCCTCTTCCACCCTTACTTATCTGGAATTATATCCCTGAAAACATCACAAATCATGGTGGAGTGGTTGATGCCCCCCACTTATCTTTGGTACCTGGGCAACAAGCCTTGGTTGGACTCTAAGTCTTGGGTGTGGCAAGAGCTCCTGAACTGCGCTCTTACGTATTGCCAGTGGTAATATTATGAGCCTCTCTTTCAAGGAGGGCACGAAAATCTTTGCCACATGCATCAAGTGCCAAAAACATCAGGCATCTGCCAAGCATATATTAATTAACTTGGGCCTCTCTAGGGAGGATATTTACTCCAATCCCCTCCTTGTGTTTGACTTTCATAGAGTCAATGGTCTTTTGGACCTTGTCTCATTTCACCAGAAATCGAAGAAAAAACAACAGCAACAACAACAGACAATATAGGATGCAGTACTAATATGATTCATGTCAATTAAAACTCCAGACTTACACCAAGTACCTGCTGTATATCATCATCCTTTGTTCTAACTTACAAAATCTAATGACTAAAAATAATTTAAACTTAAATGACTGCATAAAGAATAATACATATCCTTATGCCATACAAATCACTGACTTGGCTGTATATAAATGTTTTAAAATATTTCATGTTTCTTTAATATACTTGGATTTAAATGAAAAATCAAAGAAATACTTGCTGCAATAAGTAAAAACCAGCCTTTATAGAATGAAACTTTGAGTATCATGAGATATTAACATTTTTTAATTTTATGCTGCATGAATTTTCCATGCATTCAATTCAGATAAGTCCATATTTATATAGACACAAACTCCAATCTACAAAAAAATTTGTCAGTAGTCAATGCTTGAATGACATTTTCGCAACGTTATAAATGTGCATATATGCACA